GGCTGAAAGGGCGAGCATGTTTCATGGGATGGGATCCTCAGATTGCGAGGCTGTCGGCTCCAGTTTATTCATTATTGTAACTGCAGCTGCCATTATGTAATATTTAAAAACGATAGAATGTGCAAGAAATAACAGCCATGAATATTTACTGAGTGAATCAAACTAGGAAATTAGTTCTACGGTTGTGGCACGTCACATCCTGTTTATTCCGCCGATGAGTCAGCGGTAAGATAACGAATTTACGACTTTAAAAGCTGATGACGAGGAACCCACTTTGAGACTATTAAAGTTTAGAGACACGGCTTGATTGGGTAAGGAAGAAAATTTTTATTACGAGTCTAACATATTACCTGATGATGTTGAAACGTTATACATTTGTTACTGTAAAAACGTTCTTCTTTACCCATTAGCCGTATTTAAACTTTATTTCAACGCTAAAACCCGAGGATCAATTCCCCGCGGTAGATGGACAGAGCCAGATAGCCTTTTGGGGAGCTTTGTTCTAAGAAAACAAGAGGGAATTCTCAATAGCCGCAGAATTTGAAATTCTTTTAGGCATCATTAGAGTAAATTAATTTAAGAGACCTTCGAGTGGTGAAATACATCAATTGAAAGGATTTGACCTCCTGAGTCCATAAATGTAATTAGATCTTAAATCGGTCAAGAGATGACGGAGCTATGAGCTAAAAGTTTGTATTTGAAAAACTCGGAGCCATTCTATGAGTCGCTATGCTGCGGCTAATAACATCCTGTTAACAAACACAGTGTAGGATTAAGTCGCTTTAAACTTAGTTTTCACTCGTTATTATTGTATTGATACTGTCCATTTGTAATAAAGTTTTCTTCGTTACCCATTCAATCCGCCTCTAAACTGTATTTCAACGCTAAAAGCCGAGGTTCTATCCCTCGCAGGTAGGTAAAGCGCGGATAGCCTTTAGTGTAGCTTTGCGCTAATAAAATCATGTTAACAAACACAACTTAGGCTTAACTCACTTAAAATCTATCTCGCACTCGTTATAATATTGACACTGTCCTCTTCTTATGTAATTATTTCAATTTCATGTCGCTACATTTGATCTATTATAGCAAGGAATAGCTACTTGCCCAGGTTTTTGAAGTGGAAACCTAATAGGATATTTATCTCAAGTAACATGTCTGATGGTTAACTGTCTTGTCTACACCGTAGTTAATATAAGGTTATCTTTTAAATTTCTCATTAGAAAATAAAACTTCTAAAGTATGACGGAGAGGAACTCGTTTTTCAAAAAGCCATCTTTATTAATTTGAATTCTGACAAAGTTGCGAGAAGAAAACTTACTGATTTACTTTTTCCTGTCCTGTTCGAATCTTTCTACAATTCGTAAAGGTGGATTTAAAACTTAATGTTTCTGAAAAAATGTCTGATTAGTTCGATGGGGCACTTCATTAGAGATGGATAGATATAATTATGTTCTTAAAAAAGACTTTTTATCTAAACGGCTGGTTTTGTATTTCATAATGGTGGTTCACGGACTTATAACACTAAAATCCGAGGTTCGTTTCCTCACAGTGGACAGAGCTCAAATAGACCGTTGTTTAGCATTGAGTTAAAAGTAAAACAGACAGACAGAAAGTTAGTATTAAAGCAGAAAATATAAGCAATACCAACTAGTAATGTACAGAACAACATGCCCTCCAGTGGCACAGCGGCATGTCTGCAGACTTATACCGCTAGAAACGGGATTTCGATACCCGTGGTGGGCAGAGCACAGATAGTCCATTGTGTAGCTTTGTGCTTAATTACAAACAAACAAACAGAACAACATAGTTACTGGTAATTTACAGAACAACACAGTTACTAGTAATTCACAGAACAACATAGTTACTGGTCATTTACAGAACAACATAATTACTGGTCATTTACAGAACAACATAGTTACTGGTCATTTACAGAACAACATGGTTACTGGTCATTTACAGAACATCATAGTTACTGGTCATTTACAGAACAACATATAGTTACTGGTCATTTACAGAACATCATAGTTACTGGTCATTTACAGAACAACATATAGTTACTGGCCATTTACAGAACAACATAGTTACTGGTTATTTACAGAACAACATAATTACTGGTCATTTACAGAACAACATAATTACTGGTCATTTACAGAACAACATGGTTACTGGTCATTTACAGAACAACATAGTTACTGGTCATTTACAGAACAACATAGTTAACTGGTCATTTACAGAACAACATAGTTACTAGTCATTTACAGAACATCATAGCTACTGGTCATTTACAGAACAACATAGTTACTAGTCATTTACAGAACATCATAGCTACTGGTCATTTACAGAACAACATAGTTACTGGTCATTTACAGAACAACATATAGTTACTAGTAATTCACAGAACAACATAGTTACTGGTAATTCACAGAACAAAATAGTTAACTGGTCATTTACAGAACAACATAGTTACTGATCATTTACAGAACAACATAGTTACTGGTCATTTACAGAACAACATAGTTACTGGTCATTTACAGAACAACATAGTTACTACTCATTTACAGAACAACATAGTTACTGGTAATTCACAAAACAACATAGTTACTGGTCATTTACAGAACAACATATAGTTACTAGTAATTCACAGAACAACATAGTTACTGGTAATTCACAGAACAACATAGTTACTGGTAATTCACAGAACAACATAGTTACTGGTCATTTACAGAACAACATAGTTACTGATCATTTACAGAACAACATAGTTACTGGTCATTTACAGAACAACATAGTTACTACTCATTTACAGAACAACATAGTTACTGGTAATTCACAGAACAACATAGTTACTGGTAATTCACAGAACAACATAGTTACTGGTCATTTACAGAACAACATATAGTTACTAGTAATTCACAGAACAACATAGTTACTGGTAATTCACAGAACAACATAGTTACTGGTAATTCACAGAACAACATAGTTACTGGTCATTTACAGAACAACACATAGTTACTGGTAATTCACAGAACAACATAGTTACTGGTAATTCACAGAACAACATAGTTACTGGTAATTCACAGAACAAAATAGTTAACTGGTCATTTACAGAACAACATAGTTACTGGTAATTTACGGAACAACATAGTTACTGGTAATTTACAGAACAACATAGTTACTAGTCATTTACAGAACAACATAGTTACTAGTCATTTACAGAACAACATAGTTACTACTCATTTACAGAACAACATAGTTACTGGTCATTTACAGAACAACATAGTTACTACTCATTTACAGAAGAACATAGTTACTAGTCATTTACAGAACAACATAGTTACTGATCATTTACAGAACAACATAGTTACTGTTCATTTACAGAACAACATAGTTACTGGTAAGTATTGATGGTAAAAACTACATGCTAAACGAGAACAACAGATAAAAATCAACTTAAACCAAACAGTAGTCTGATGTTATCGGCATGCATGTTCATAAAAATACTTTACCTTTTCACCGGTTCGAATCCCATCATCGAAAATCATCACTTTTAGTCGTGGGAACGCTATAATGTGACAGTCATTTCCACTTTTCGTTGGTAAAGAGTAGCCCAAAAGTTGGTGGCGGATGGTGTCGACTAGCTGCCTTCCCTCTAATCTATTACTTCTAACTTAGGGACAGTTAGCTTTAAGCGAAATTCAACAAAAAACAAAGAATTTGCTTTTTGTAGTTGCATGGTGGTTTAATAAAACTGAATTCTATAACAGTATTTATTACCTTCATTACGTTAGTACATACTTTGTGAGCGTTTGTTTCCCCCTTACATAGATTATTATACATCATAGGTAATCTGGCGTGGAATTTTGGTTTGTTTTTATTAAATATATTCTATTATGCTCTATCTGATATACGAGTTATTAGAATCATAAAATCCATATATAATGTTGATGATAAATCATAGGATGATCATTTCTGAATCAAATGTTTCTATAATGTCTCATGCCATCAATCATTTGACGTGCGACGAATCTAAAAACACAAAACCACGCATGCTCAACTTCATCCGTCATCTTCTCTTGTAAAGCTTCCTTTAAAGAGCCTCTCAGGGATCTCCACAGTTTCTGTAAAGATTACAATACAAAACAAATAGTTATCTGTATAATTAGAAACATACAAAAAGTAAACAACCTGCTAATCACTATTGTAAGACTTTCAATAGCAACAGGTCATTGTACTGGAGGTCATCTTCAAAATCCACTTAGCATATTCACATTGTTGCAAAAATTGAAATCCAGCTAACACATTCATATTGTCGCAAAATTAAAACCCTGTTCACATGTTCACATTGTTGCTAAAATTAAAATCCAGCTAGGACATTCACATTGATGCTAAAATTAAAACCCTGTTTGCATGTTCACATTGTTGCTAAAATTGAAATCCAGCTAGGATATTCACATTGTTGCTAAAATTGAAATCCAGCTAGGTCATTCAGATTGTCGCAAAACTAAAATCCAGTTAATACATTGACATTGTTGCAGAATTAAAATCCAGTTAACGCATTCTTATTGTTGGAAAATTGTTTAAACGATGCTTCATAACAAGGAATTGAAGATATGAATGATATTAATATCAATTAAACTGTAAAACGATCATCAATACTAAATGTTTTTTTACAAAGGAAACAAACTTAATATATATTTTGCAGTTTTAAAAAATGGGGAAGTTTTAATAATTATTTCTTTCACCTTGATTGTTTTTTAAAACTCTTGTATTTGTTTGATTTGTTGTTAAACACAAAGCTATACAATTGGCTGTTTACCTCGATTTTTAGCGTTATAAGAACCAGATGTATATTTGTGTACGAGTAAAATGATTAACACACACACATAAATTGTATGTTACAGTTTTCTGTTGATATTAATTGAACGGAACCATTATAATAAACTGTATCGACTAGCAAAAGCTTAACGCCCTCACACGGAATTTTTCTGATAATCGCTAATAACCTTTATCGTTTAACCGTCAACAACACCTAGTTGAATTAACAGTAAGTCATTTCTCTGAATCATCTGTTAGAAATATTTTATGGAAAAACAACTTGTTGTTAAGACTTGGTGTAAATGAAGTACATTCTTGCACGGAAATGTCGAAATGAACCAGATGAAAGTGTTGGCTTTGTTTAAAATCTTACTGCCATTGACATTGTGCGAACGTGCTGCCATCTATTTACAGACTGTTACACTTATAAGAAGCAAAGCAGTTTCGTTAACTGACTAACTGATAAACAAAATCATAAACATAACTTTTGGTATTCATCGTACACATTAATTTTAACTGTCTTGTAGTTAAAGGTTTTGAATTATCAGCTGCTGAATTCAGCAGTTTACATTTATAATCTTATATGCAATTACGTGAATTAATTACATAAATTGAACTTAAGCAAGAACATAACATGCCGGTTTAATAATTACCTGAAGTGTATTCAAACCGAAGAAGGACTGAGTGCTCTAGCTTAATACATAATCATTATGACACTGACATTGAAACCGTATACAAGTTATTTATGGAAAAGCACCCCAGAAGAATGGATCATGCTAACATGTTATTTCAGTAGTGCATACATGAAATAGCTAATATACTGTTGTTGTACCCCAGAAGAATGGATCATGCTAACATGTTATTTCAGTAGTGCATACATGAAATAGCTAATATACTGTTGTTGTACCCCAGAAGAATGGATCATGCTAACATGTTATTTCAGTAGTGCATACATGAA